AAAATATCGTACTCTCAAATGTTCATCATTACCGGCAACACCTAGCTATAAGAGATATATACGAATATGTACTACAGCGGTCTTATCATTTTCACCACTAAATTTATAAAATTTGGGTACCAACCAACCTTCAGGAGTTCTCAAGTAATCAATGGCTAATGGGTATGGTCTATGATACGCAGGCACCTTCCATTTAGAGGATCCATGTGGATTTCTAGCATGAGCTAATTCTTCATTGATTCGGCTTGTTTTGAGATCAAATGAAGCCGAATAAGAAGTTTTAACACCTGAATGCCTTGCTGAAATTTCATTAATTCGGCTCGAGTTAGTAGTAACATATGAAGCCGAATTATGAATATTGCCATTAGCACACCTTGCTGAATTTTTATTAATTCGGCTAGAGTTAGTGGTAACATATGACGCCGAGTCATGAATAGGAGCATTGGAATAAGGTGCTGAATTTGGAGAGTAATTGGCTAAATAATGAACGTCATCATAGCCAATTCTCTCATCCATCGGCTTGTCTTGTGGTGAAACCACATATTGAACTTACATCCGATGAATATGGATTTATATGTTGTATGTTGCTAGAAGAATCAAAGCTCAATGAATTTTTAGCAAACATCGGCTCTTGATCATAATATTTATCAAAAGTATTAGCTGATGCAACATATCTAGAATCATTATAGCTAGCAACACCAACATGAGAGTTCATATCACTTGCAAAATAATTATAAAATTCTTCAGATTCGTTTGCAAGTTGTACCTCAGGGTAATTGTAGTAGTATTGTGATGAATCGCCTTGGTACTCTATGGTTTTGCACTCCGCCTTGCTGAAATTTTTGATAAGCAGCACAACACGTTGCAAAATAGCAAACGGGATCAAAGGGGTCAAAACCGAATGAGATCGGCCTTTTGGGGCCGGATCGAACGGTAATGACGAGCACAAAAAGATAGATCAACAAAGAATATGGCTAGGGCAAAGAGATTCGGCTACAAAAATTAGAGCCGAAGCAATCTTGCTCCCCAGTGGAGTCGCCAAAAAGTATGTTAACGTCGGAAGTGATCCGAATCAAATACCAAAGGGCATTGGACACCTGGGCCGCTACGAGCCGAAGAACGCAGCAAAGATATCGCTCTTACGTGGCGTAGCACGGAGAGATTTACAAGCAAACCACCAAAGGATAACCAATCGCGCTTTTGGAGCGAAGAACCGACTAGTTTTCAGGCAAACTAGCAAAGGAACCATCGAAGCTCTCGCGCGGAAGGGACCTGTTAGGGCAAGGACGTCACCGGGTCGTTCTAGGTCGGCCAGCAAGCCTAGAACGTCATCCTTGGTTGCCTGGATCAAGAGATGAACAACATCTAGAAGGTTGAGGAGAGAATTAGGGTAAAAAGAGAGATATGTTATGTTTTTGGTTCGATTGATTAGATGGGATCAATCGGTCATGATCCTCTCGTATTTATAGAGGGGTGGTCTTATCCCAGTAGGAAATAATCTCAAATCACGATCTCCAAGTTCTATACGCTTAAAACTTACCAAAACACGATTTTAGATCAAATCGGTTTGGAATACAGCCTTGACCTAGCTTAGCTCGTTTTTACGAGGAGAGGCAAGTCACCCAGCCAGCCAGGCAACTGATCCGGCTAAGCCGGCTGGTGACCTAGCCTAGCTGGGTGTGAGAGGAAAACCGGCCTAGCCGGCTTGATGACCTAGCTAGGCTGGCTTAGGCATGAGGGGCCGGCCTAGCCGGCTTGGCTGGCTCGCTAAGGCTCGCCGTCTTCTCCGCGTGTTTCATTGCTCCGCTTGCGATGCTGTTCGACCTCAACCATGTCCAGGGCCATTATAACTTATTTAAATTATCCAAAACCATCCCGGATATTTTTTAGTGTCCGGAGGCACTATTTTCAGGCTGAGAACAGCCCAAGGCAGCTTAGCCAGCTCGGAGACCCGGCTAAGCCGACAGTCAGATTAAAATTCCGGCTGAAATCTTCCGAAAATCATAATTAATTCATCTGGACTTCAAACGAGGCAAAAACCATATGCGTTTTTCGATCAGCTCGACGAGGCGAACGCAATGGTGCAGTCCATTATTGCATTTGAGAAAGTTGATCAAGTCGGCTTAGCCGACCTAGGTGGCCGGCTAAGCCGGCTCTAGCTGGTTCAAAACACCCAAAATGTAGATTTTTTTGCCCAAGCGTCAAATGTGGTGATCTGAGGATGCTCTCTGGCCTTCTTGACGACAGAAACATAATGATAAGGTCCATTATACCCTCTGGACAATTTTGGGTGTCAACAACATGTCTAATAGCATTTAGAAAAAAAAAACTAACATTTGCATTGCATTGATAAAAAATATGTATACGTAGAGATACAAAGCTAGCTAGCTACCTAGGTGGCACAATCCAGAAAGGTTTGCGACAGAGAATCAAGTCGTCGTGATGGTGGACCTGGGTAATCTCTTGAGTGCTTGTTTCCAAGTCAAAAATGCACAAATCAGCATCATCATCGATGATATTCTTCATGAAGAATATCTGGTTTGCTTTCAGTCCTCGAGCACTCGCCGAGCAAGAAGCCGCTATGGTTGCCTCCTCCAAAAGAAACACAGCGTCTCCAATGTCATGCACCCTGCGCCAGCAAGCTTGTGTTGACGAGGAGGAATCCAACCTATACACCGGCCTCTATGGCGCCAATATTGTTTGGATTAAAGGCAATGTAGCCCATGGTGACTGCAAAGAGTTGATCTTGCGACTCAACCAACCACTTTTGGCCTGAGGACAATTCTTGAGGGAGGTCGACGAAAGGGAATTTGAACTTTTGGAACCTAGGGCGGTTGTGAGTTGTCGTGGAAGTGCATGATGAGAAATCTGTGGCGCACATATTGTCTTTAGGCGCGATTTGCTGAAGTAGATTTGCCCTTGGAAGGAAGCCATTGCGGAGATGATTCTCTTGATAGGACGGATACTACGACGTGCCTTTTTTTTTTTCTTTGGTGGCTTGGGTACAGAAGCACAGTTACCGATGTCGTAGGCGTGACGTCTCCAACTGATGCTGTTGTTCTCGCCGCTGCCGTCACCAGCGGTGTGACAATACCAGAAATCAGGCGTTTCATAACTGAGTTGGGTCCTTGTGGGAGAGCATGCACCTGTTGAGGTATGGGATTTCATGCTCCTCCGTGATGATATCTGGTAACGGAAGCTTGTTGCCGGTGCTAGGGTTCCATAGGCAAACCGAAGAGACCGCCGCGTCAGAGTCCCGGCCTTGTGGAGTTGTCCAGCACATGTTGCTGTTGCCTGCGCTTACATGGTCACGCTCCATGTTCCTGTGTAGGCTTTGCTTGGATAAGCTGAACATTAGCATCTCCTTGTCAACGTCCTCCTGGCCGTCATAACGGTGTTGGAAGACGAGCAAGGGCAAGCAGACGACATGGATGATCCCAATCTAGTAGCGTCTCGCTCTGCGTGTTCCACCTCCACCATGGTTGTGCTTCTCTCTGCTGGTTGACGGCGGCGACGATTGCGAATATGGTACGGCAAGGAGGGATGATTTATCTCGCTCTTCGATCTCTTCCACACGGCAGATTGGAACGAAGATGATTATTGCCTGATACCCTCTCGGTCAGCTATACATATATACACAGGAGGGAGGAAAGAAAAAGAGCTTTGATCGGGCACGGTGATATCAGAATCGGTCCCAACGGTGTACGTGTTGGATTAAGCTTCCCAGCATGTTCCTAGTATATAGACCTTTGTTTGGGCCATCAAATTGAGGCCTAACACCTGGTGGATTACATTATTAGATTTAATTTTCTCTGCAAAAAAAAAGATTTAATTTTCTTTTTTTCTAGATTTTTCTTTATTGTTCTCAGAATTTAAAATTGGTTTTTTAATTACTCCAACAATTTTGGCTGTTGACATTGTCATCATACCAAAGTAGTAGCTCTAAATCATATCTACAACAACTTTGTAGTTAACACATTTCTATATGAATTATTTAGAGGTCCAAATATTCGTTTGAATTTCTCATAAATCTTTTGAAATTTTCAAATGACCTCGAACATTTACTTGGTCTATAAGAAAGCTATATAGATTTCAGTGGGATCTAAAACTTTTATTTGAGATCGCTTTAGATCCCAAATGTTTGTTTTTTTGACCGAAGTCAGCAAGGGAAACCCCAACCTATTTTTTAGTTTTTTTTAATAATGCAGACCTATTTAAATTCGCTCCCACGGGAAGTCGAACCCAAGTCAGCTGGGTGCTAGTCGGGTGCTCTAATAACCACTACTCCCTCCATCCCAAAAAGAATGCAATTCTCGCTTCTCGAGAAGTCAAGCGATGCAAACTTTGATCAAAATTATACAAAAGATTATTAACACTTACAATATAAAATAAGTATCAATAGATTAGTGATGGAATATATTTTCATTATAAATCTGGTTGGAGACATAAATATTAATACTAATCAAATTTTAGTCAAATTGAGCGGCGCGAATACCATAATTTCATTCTTTTTGGGACGGAGGGAGTAGGCTAGAGGCCCTTTCGCCCAAATGTTTGTTTTAAGTTATGTGATTATGAAATTCAATTTTTAATTGTTTTCCATATGATCTCAGATGAAGACATGCTCTTTACCAAATTTGTAGTGTTTGAAGAACTTTAAAAGTTTGCAGTTGATTTTTTACCCATTTGAGATCATTGATGAGATAACTAAGAAAAAGCGCCATCGAAACCACTCCAAATTATTTTAGAGGGATAATTTATCTAGCCTTGAAAATTAAGGGGGTAATTTGTCCACTACTCATGCTCAGAGAATGTTTTTTTAAGTTCAGCAACAAGTTCAGAGGACAGATCGGATATCTCTTTTTTTTTTATTAGTGAATTCTCAAGACAATTGAAATACTAAACTTGCTCCTTTCAATCTATATTAGTTGATTCACATTTGCCAACTACTAATAATGAACTAGCTAATTGCTAGTTGGGTTGAAAACTAATAATACTATCTAGCACGGAGGTACATTAATCCAGTATGGCGGCGAGCGCACGATCTCCAAATCTTGTCGGTCGTGAACCTGGACAATCTCCATGGTTTGCTCCTTAATATCGTAGATGCATAGATCCCTGTGGCCATCCACCAAGTGCTTGAGAAAGTAGAGGGTGTTCCCTTTAAGCAGGTTATTATCACTGGTGCTTGCGGAGCACCAAGTCGCCATATTCATCTCTGTCACAAGAAAAGCCCTGTCGTCCCCAATATCATCCACGCGGTGCCACGCTACGGGCTTCTCGCCACAGAAGTTCATCATGTAGATGACGACGGCGCCGATGTTGGCTGCATCAAAATCCACATAGCAGATGCAGACGGCGAAGAGCTCATCCATGGACTCCACCAAGCAGATGCTCCCGGAGCACAGGCCATCAGGGAACTCGAGCTTATTGCTGACATCAAACCCACGGAACTCCGCGGCAGGAGGATGGGCATGGTGATCAGCCGGGAAATCCAAGTCGATAATGCCCATCTTGTCTTGGCCTGATTCATCCGTGAAGGTGAAATGCAGCTTCCCTCTGAGGGCGGCGACGTCGGCGATGACGTTCTTGGTGGGCGTAGACGGGGTGCGGAACTCCTCGGGGAGCTCGTAGTCGCCAATGTCGTAGGTGTGCTGCCCCCATCCGCGGTCGCTCCAGCCGTTGACCCGGCAGAACCACATGAGAGGGTCGGCGACGTCGAGGAGCACGACGGCGCAGTCCGGGTGGGCGGCGGAGGCGTGGGTGAGCACGCAGCTGCAGTTGACGGGGATGTAGTGGTCGTCGTGGATGGGTGGGAGGGTGATGGTCTCTCCGGTGAGCGGGTGCCACAGCCAGGCGTCGTCGGAGACTTTTCCAAGGATGAGCAGCCATCCTTGCGGCGTGCTGAAGCAGAAGTTGTTGCCAATGGCATTCATCATCTCTGTGGATGTCACAATGCTCCGCTCGGACAGGCTATATATGAGCATCTTTGTGGCTGTGGCAGTAGAATCTGATGGATGATCAACAACAGGAGGAGTAGGCTGCTCATCTGTGGCATGATCCTCGTATTCGTAGACGAGCAAGGGCAACGAGGCAAGGACCTGTCTCTGTCTCTGTCTCGGTGGATGCTCGTTCATCAGCATCAACATGCCCATGATGGTCGCTTCTGTACGACTGTACCTATTGCCATATACATGATTCAAATCACAAGTGTGTGTGTGTGTGTGTGTATATATATATATATATAAATCAAACAGTAATGACAAAGAAGAGCAGAGAAATATTGAATATATATGGCTCTCACCTGACCAGCTAGATCGGATAATATGTAGGGTAGTAGAAACCGGTCGATCCGGCGAGCTTGTAACTCTAATCTAATCTTGAGGTGCAACAGGTATTCAAATCTGATTGATACAGGCTCCCTCGCTCCCTTATATAACGATGAATACAACTCCTCCATAGGATCGGAGTTAGCATTGAACTGGAATAGGAATAGGAATAGGAATTGGAGTTGGCATTCCACCTCGCTCAGATCAACATGCCAAACTACCTTTTATATTGAATCCTGGCCGAAACTATTTCTATTTTTTCCAAAATCCAGATCCAAATCCAATCCAAATCTCCATTCCATCATACACATCTCGTTGCTGCGGTAATGCCACGGACGCCCTGTCTCGAGAATGTGCTCGTGTTCCACTCCTTTGCGTGCTGCCGGCCTGCCGCCGCTATCTCCACCCACGCTCTGCGTTATCGCTGCCACCCTGCCCCGAACCCACTCCACCCTCTACGCCGACCACTGCTGTCATCCCCACCCACTCTCTACATTGTGTCATTGCCGTAGCGCCCACACCCACCTCTGCGCCACCGCTGCCGTGCCCACCCGCTCTTTGCTCCACCGCTGCTCGTGCCACCCCCACTTTGCCCTTTGCGCACCACCGCCCAGTTTCATGTGGCCGGCGAGCTCTACGCTGACATACACGTGCTGACAAACCTCCATTTGTCCAAGCTACAATAAGATGCTGTGTTGAAAGCACATGTTTCACATATGTTTTAAGTGTTTCATGTGTGTTTAAGAGGTATTGTAAGTGATGAGTTAAGCCCACCCATCTCCTTCAACAAGCAAACCGAGCGGGCAGACCTAGGACAGATGAGTTAGGCTTTGGGTCAACGCTGGGCACTGGCTGGGCTTTGACGGTTCATGCCCATGCGGACGCAAGAGAAAAACAATTAAAAAATTAATTAATTAGATGGACTGCTCTGAAATTTGTCCATTTTATTTATTAAAAAAAGTTGTATTGAACAAGTTTTTTTTACATTATTAATAAAATATGTATTTTCTAATCTATATCTATATCTATACCTAATAATAAAGATACAAAATTTCCACAGTTTTTTGTCCGGATTGGGAGATTGGTATGAGAGCCAGTGACTGAATGGTGCCGACGCTTGGGCTGTTAGCCGCAGCCAGCGGGCGGCGATGGAGTGAAGCTGCGGACAACACCGATGGAGGCCTTGCGGCACGGTGTTGGAGCTCGAGCCACGTGGAGGTGCGGCGCTGGACACATAGAGCTAGGCGGCCTGGTGGTGCGGTGATGCGGCGTGACGCTGGAGGTGGAGCTGAGCGGCGACGCGACGCTGGAGCAGAGCTCTAGGCCTCTGGCGGCAGCACTTCCTCTGCGTACTGCGTATGATAGTTGGAGACATATACGGTAATTAAATGGGCCTTAGCCGAGACGCTCCAGCCCAAAAGGAACCAATCATGATGGTGGACTCGAGTAATCACGTACGTGTTGATCCCATTCTATGTCTAAGACACGCAAACCTGCATTGTTCTTGTTGATGAAGTATTAATCCCTATTCCCTAGCTTTATTTAAACTAGCAAAAAAAAAAAAGGCTAGAAGACAACCTCTCTAATTATTACAAGAGGTGAGCACATCTAGAGCCTCTCTAATTAAAACGCTAGTATATAGTGCATACCTTACCATAACTTGAAACCGGTGATACATATGTTTCTTATGTATCTAACTTGCAATTTGTTTGTAAATGGTATTTCTTTGCATAAATCAAAGCAAATAGCAATAAATAATGTATATGTATAGATAAATACTTAAATAGCTAACTAGAAGAGGTGGCACAATCCAGAAAGGTTTGCACGAGAGAATCAAGTCTTCATGATTGTGGACTCAGATAATCTCTTGGGAGTTTGTTTCCAAGTAAAAAATGCACAAATCAGCATCATTATCAATGAAATTCTTCATAAAGAATACCTGGTTTCCTTTTAGCCCCAGGGTGCTCGCCGAGCAAGAAGCCGCCATGTTTGTATCCTCCAATAGAAACACAACATCTCCAATGTCAGGCACACTACGCCAACAAGCTTGTGTTGAGGAGAAATCCATCCTATGCACCTCTACGGTGCCAATGTTGTTCATATCAACGCCAACGAAGCAGATGGTGACTAAACAGAGTGGATCCTGCGACTCAACCAACCAGTGTCTACCCATGCAAAATCCTTTCGGGAGAGGGGCCAAAGGAACAATGAAATTTTGGAACGTAGGGTTGTTTTGATGATCTGTTGTGGAAGTGCAGAACGAGAAATCCATGGTGTACATGCCTTTAGACAAATCGGTGAAGTAGATTTTCCCTTGTACTACGGAAGCCTTGAAGGTGACTATCGTCTTGGTAGGACGGCGACGGCAACGGAGGCGTGCCTTTTTCCCCCTTTGGTGGCTCTGGCATAGAAGGATGGTTACCGATGTCATATGAGTAATGTCTCCACCTCCTCCTGCTGCTGTTGTTGTCGCCGCAGGTGGCGTGGCAGTACCATAGATCAGGCGCGGCGTTATTGAAGAACACTACAACACATCCTTGGTGAGTTGGGTCCTTGTGGGTGAGGAGGCACCTGCAGTGGTATGGGATCTGGTGTTCCTCTCCTAGATCTGGCAAGGGTAGCTTGTTGCCGGTGCTAGGGTTCCATAGACAAGACGAAGAAGACCTCGTGCCATGGCCCAGCTGGGTGAGTATCATCCATCCCTGTGCAGTGGTCCAGCACATGCTGTTGCCTGCGGCAAGAAGTTCATGCTCCATGTTCTTGTGCAGGGTTTTCTTGGATATGCTAACCATTAGCATCTCGTCGTCACCGTCCTCTTGGCCATCAGGATGATGGTGGAAGACAAGCAAAGGCAAACACGACGACATGGGGGATCCAAATTTAGTAGCGTCTGCTTTTTCAACCATGGTTCTTCTTGCTGGAGAAGAGCTGGACGTACGAAGACGACGGGGATCTGCCTATAGGGATCGGAGCTTGATCAGGCTGCAGAGACTAGAACGACAATTTTGATCGGCTCATTGGAGAGGATTATATATTATATTGCTTGGTACCTGAGATAGATATATATATATATATATATATATACACTGTTTTGCTATAATACACCTGGGTGCATCTTGTATATAGAATGCACCCAGGCCGGCGGGCGCACCAACTTGGAGCAACTAGCGCGCCCAAGCGAATACATGCATGCATGGATGTTTTTGTTGGTTCGAATCTTTGAAACAAATTTTTTCCTAAACCGTAACCTCGATTGACAAACCGTTTGTTGCATCCGACTCAAAAAAATATTTTGAGCAAAACTAGATCCAATATGGATATATTTTTTTATCCTTTAAGCGAGTTGCATGTCAATGTACTACCGATTGCAACTCTGTCTACCACCTAGTTGCAACTAGTTATAACTCTGTGTATTATATGCATCTGGTCACTATAATCACGCAAAGTTGCAATTCTGAGTTACAATCAGTGCTAAATACGCTACAGCCAAGTTACAATTGTATTGTAGAAGTGCTTGCAACTTATAGTACTAACATATTGCAATTACGTATTTGAAAAAAAAACTTCATCAAATACAGCCTTTAGTGCCACCAGTGCTAAATACGCTACAGCCAAGTTGCAATTGTGTTGTAGACGTGCTTGCAACTCATAGTACAACATATTGCAGTTACGTATTTGAAAAAAAAAACTTTATCAAATACAACCTTCATTGCAACCAATGCTAAATACGCTACAACCAAGTTGCAATTGTGTTGTAGAAGTGCTTGCAACTCATAGTACAACATATTGCAATTACGTATTTGAAAAAAAACTTCATCAAATACAGCCTTCAGTGCGACCAGTGCTAAATACGCTACAGCCAAGTTGTAATTGTGTTGTAGAAGTGCTTGCAACTCATAGTACAATGTATTGTAATTACGTATTTGAAAGAAAAACTTCATCAAATACAGCCTTCATGGGTCTCGTTGTGTTAAGCATATTTTTTTCAACAACCTACTTCAAACAGATCTAAAATCGGATCTGTGGTTTAGAAGATATCGCATTTTTTTCGTTTAGAATCAACAAAAGTTTTTCTACATGCATGCTTTCTAGTGTGATGGGTTGAGCTGTTAGGTGGCATCACGTAGTTGATTGTCTCCATTTAATTTTGCATGCAGGAGCGTGGATTTACCTCACGCTCGTGGCTCGTGGCTCGCCGCGCTCCGCGCGTCTCGCGCTCGCAGTCGGGTGCATTTGCTGCACAGAACGCACCCAGGTGTATTTTAGCATTGTCTATATATATATATATATATATATATATATATATATATATATATATATATATATATATATATATATAGTATCGGGATCGATCCGTACGGTGCGGTATAGTACACCGTGTCGGATTAAGCTTCCCAGGCTCCGATCGAGTATATTTCCAAAGAAAAGGTGGTGTGTCCTACACGTACGACATCAATCTAGTTCGTACGAGTTTAAATCGGAGTACTACGAGGAGGCAAGTCAAGGAGTCCGAAGTCCAAACTTTGCCATGCAAATCCAGTTTTTTTTTTGAAAGCAAATCCAGGTAGTAGTAGTATTATATTATAACTAGAAGACCTTTATTTGAGCCGTCTAGGCCCAATACTTGCTGAAATAAATAGATTATTAATTAGATTTATTTTTTTCTTTTGAAATGAAATTAGGTTTACTTTTCCGATGCAATGCTGAGTGCTAATGATTGTCATTTGAAAATGTACAAGATTTATGACATTTTATATACTCCCAATCCAGATTTAATTTTATATTAAAATTAATGATAGCAACAATATTCCTATTAATTAAGTATGAGTCCATTTAAAGTGAAACCTTGAGGGATTTTTTCTGTTGTTGCAAAGCAGTCATATTTGCTTGTAATAATATATCATAACTAGTTTAAAAAAATAATATATCATAACTATAAATTTCACATTATCCATGTGTTGATACAATTAAACATCAAGTTCCATGACTTCGTTTGAAGACATAAAAACATGCAATTCTAATGTTTGATGTAAGTCGGAAAGGAGTTCATGGCCAATGTGCTTCTGTTCAATGATGAGTATGACAAGGCGTTTCTCGGTCTTCACATGGCAACCCTAGCCGAAGCTGTACCAGCGGTGCATATAAGAACCAAAAAATAGTCCATATAATGTTTAATTAATTATTGTTTCGGCACCATAAGAAAGATAATAATTTTAGGAAAAATATGAAACTAGTTTTATAATTTTTTGGACTAAATTTAATTTGTCTAAACTATTTAAGATTAAACCTGATTTTCTATGATTTTTATAATTATATAATTTGTAAATAAAATATTTGGTCATTTTTTAAAATATATAGTCCTATTTATCTTCTGAAGTATTAACATAGTCAGCTTTGCATCTTCTCTTGATTTAAAGTGGCACCATGTCAGCGCTAAAATCGCCATTAAAACCACTTAGTGTGCAAACAACTATTTTAAAGTTGAGTGACATATTTTTTTTGAGCATAAATTGAGTGATAGATTTTTTTTGAGGGGAGTATGATAAGAATTACATACTCCATTTGGAGGCTCCAAAAACCAAACATGTTTGTCTATCGATAAATTAACAGAGCTTCTAGCTAAAATATGGGCGGGGACATTTGACTCCCTTACCAGATATCACAGAGGAGGAGTTCCCACCACAGACTTGCAGGTGCCTGCTCTCCCCCACAAGAACGCAACATGCCCTGGATGCGTCGTCGTGCTCTTCAACCTTTCCAAGCCTTACTTGTGGTGCTGTGACGTCATCAATGGCAATGGCGACGACAACGACGACAAGACCAGCACTTGGAGCTGGAGGCATTACTCGTACGACATCGGTAACTACAAGTTACCGGAGGCATATATATCACCCTCCAACTAAGAAGGTGATTTCCACGGTCGCCGCGTTCCAAGGGAGGTTCTACTTCATCAACTCACTTTCAGACATGTGCACCATCGATTTCACAAGCAGCAAAAGACCACCCTACATTCCACTACTTCGATGCGCGTCTGGTTGATTTCCCCAAAGGGATGAGCTTCGGAGCGACATGGCTGCTGGACCGCGACGACAAGCTCTTCCTTGTCCTCGTCTCCTGCATCGGCTTCGATCCTCCCGACATTGGCGCCATCCGCGTGTACAAGATGGACTTCTTGTCGACACACAGCAACAAGTCTCCTCGTTGGCGCAGGGTCCATGACATTGGAGATACCGTGTTTCTGTTGGAGGACACGGGATTGGCGACGTCTTGCTCGGCGAGCCTTCACGGACTGAAGAGGAACCAGGTGTATTTCATGAAGAATTTCGTGGAAGATGATGCTGATATGTGCGTTTTTGACTTGGAATCAAAGAGATTACCCGTGTTCACCATCATGACGGCTTGCTTCTCTGCCGCAAACCGTTCTGGATCGTGCCACCAACAAGCTAGGCATTATATTTGCAGCACACAAGACATCGTCTATATATGTTATTGGAAACAAGCAAATTATATCTAGTTTATAAAATTCAAGCAAATTATATCTAGTTTATAATATTCGTGTCGTCTTGTTTTTCTCGATACGATTGTCATGTGCCATCAGACAATCTTCTCTATAGTTTGTGATTCTCTTGTGTGTGTTATATATGTACCACTCATTTATTGGTTGCCTTACTTTGCTCTTAAAATAAGAACATATCTATATCTATATCTATATCTATATCTATATCTCTATACCTCTTACTAAAAGGACAAATTTTTGTCCACTCAATCTTTCTTCCGCCTAGATCGAGACCGTGTCCGACCCTTCTGCAGTAACTTACCTTACCTTGGCAACATAAACGAGGAGCGAGGAAGATAATAGAAAAAAATACAGAGTTCAAGATGTAAAGATATAGAAAAAAGTGAAAGAGTCTTAATAATTTTTGAAATTGATCGGGGTTCCTGATGCAAAATTGGGTCTCTCTTGGTGGGTTCTTTTTTTACTGGGCTGAATCCTTGCAGTTGGATTGACTTCATTGTGGGTTGCACCAGCCCATGCAAGCCTTTTTCTTTTCTTTCGTTTTTTAGATCTTGCAAAATTCGCTAGAAAAGATAAAAAAAATAAAAACATCAAACCAGTTTGTTTAGCTTTATAAAAATATGATCTATCTATAGATGTTATGAATGTTTGTCTATAGTATGTAAAATCATTCTTGCATACGTTGCCTACATATAGGTTAGGGAATGATCGAGAAACTGCCAGAGACAGACCTGGAATACACGGACGTGGTCGAGGAGTACAAAAAGGATGTCCTCATCGTCGTTGTTTCCGAAGCCTACACTAACTTTTCTCCGTCCGGTTCTTGCCTAAGGCAAATCTCGGTGCATATCTCGGTGCATAACCTCTACTTTTTTAGTAATTATGTTTGCTTGTGCATTAAGTTATGAGAATGAATATACACCATCTGATGTAGTTTTGATTAGAAACAAAAATTATTTTTACTAAAACATGGGTTAGTCAATGATAACTAATTATTTCATGAAATCTTTGGCAGATTATTGTCTAATGAAATATAAACAAATATATTTATAGAATTCCTAATGAGGGCTGCCCTGTGAAAAATCAAGAGAAGTCTCTTGTTATAATCATTGGCGGACAGAATAATTATCTATACAACGACAAAAAAGTTACAGAGGTTGCTATAATGCGTTAAAAAAGCTACACATGTCCATATTAAGTCATAGAAACACATCGGTAGTATGAAAAATAAAAGTTATGATATATTTATATCTAAATAATTATGCGCTTTGCAATGAAAGAAAAAATATCAGAATTAACTTATATTATGGATGTGACGATGATCATAAACAATTATAAAATGGACCATTCACGTTATTATTTTGCATGAATGTTTAATAGCATTTTTTTTTCTCCCGTTGCAACGCACGGGCATATTTGCTAGTACATAATAATGTTATGACGATCTCTCGGGGCTGCTAAAAAACAGCTACATCGACGATGCTAAGAAAATTCTAAAAATATCTCTTCAAATTGCAATGCATCGAAACACATTATGAATATTTGTCTTTTTAATTAAAAAATATGAGTCTCATTACATATATCAATAACACGTCATCTGATATGTCTATATTTCGGGAACCAAGATTTGGAGTGAGGTCATTAGAGAGAAAGGAGGTCCGAGCTGGTTTATGAGAATGTACGATTCTCCCGTATTTGATAGTTATTTTTCTCCCAGTACAATGTACAGGCATATTTTTGCTACTAACATATAATATGAAACAAGGAAACCATGGCAAATCAAACACACATGCAAGCTACATCTATTTACACCATGGTACCATATACTGAGCTCAATGCATTGGTCAGTTGAACTCAAAAGCCTAGTTAGCTGATTGGAAAGTATGGATTTTTTCTTATATTTTTAAAAATTCTATCAAAGATGATATAGTAGCCTGCCATATCATGAAACCAGTGATATGCTTCATTCATATCATACAATAACTTACATAGATTTTTCTTTACATAAGTCGAAGTAAATCGCAAGAAGTAATGTAATATGTAGGGGTAGTACATAGTATTTAGCTAGGTGGCACAATCCAGAAAGGTTTGCGGCGAAGAATCAAGTCTTCACGGTTGTGGACTTGGGTAATCTCTTGGCTGTTTGTTTCCAAGAAAAAATGCACAAGTCACCATCATCATCCAAAAAATTCTTCATAAAGAATATCTGGTTTGCTTTCAGTCCTAGAGCACTCGCCGCGCAAGAAGCCGCCATGTTTGCATCCTCCAAGAGAAACACAACGTCTCCAATGTCATGCACCCTGTGCCAACAGTCTTGCATCGAGGAGGAGAAATCCATCCTATGCACCTCTATGGCACCAATGTTGTTTGGATTAAAAGCAACAAAGCCAATGGTGACTACAAAGAGCTGATCGCGTGCGACTCAACCAACCACTGTCTGCCCGAGCACAATCCTTCAGGGAGACCGACCAAACGTTTTTTTCAGTTTCTGGAACTTAGGCCGATCATTGTGATTTGCCGTGGAAGTGCAGAATGAGAAATCTATGGCGCACATGTCTCCTTTGGATTTGCTAAAGTAGATTTTCCCTTGGAACGAAACCATGTCGGTGATAACATTCTTGATAGGGCGGAGACGACGACGTGCCTTCTTTCCCTTTGGTGGTTTTGGTATAGAAGGGTAGTTACCAACGTCATACGAGCAATGTCTCCACCTGCTGATGTTGTCGCCGGTGTGGCAGTACCAGAGCTCAGGCGCGGCATCATTGAAGAGCACGACGACACATCCTGGGTGAGTTGGGTCCTTGTGGGAGAGGAGACACTTGCAGTGATACGGGATTTGGTGCTCCTCTACGATATCCGCAAGGGAAGCTTGTCGCCGGTGTAAGGGTTCCATAGACAAGCCGAAGACACCGTGTCGTGATCTTCGGCGAGGAGCATCCAGCCTTGTGGAGTGGTCCAGCACATGTTGCTGTTGCCTACGCTTACAGGGCCACGCTCCATGTTGCTGTGCAGGCTTTGCTTGGATATGCTGAACATTAGCATCTCGTCTTCATTGTCGTCCTCTTGGCCGTCAGGATGATGGTGGAAGACAAGCAAGGGCAAACATGGTGACATCATGGACGATCCAAATTTACTAGCATCTGCGTGTTCCACCATGGTTCTTCGATCTTTCCTGGACGAAGACGACGGGGATCCACCTATAGGGAACCTGCAGGGATCAGAGCTTGTTAACTAGGCTGCAGAAAAGAAGAACACGTATAGATAGATGGCGCTGACTTTCTGAATCCTGATTTGGATACAGTTTTATATATATCTGATCTGATAAACATATATATAGGTACATCGATTGATGGCTCTCACCAGGTAGATCAGCCGTGCGCAGTTTGGGTCGCCCGATCGGATAAGCAGCTAGAGTAGAAACCGGTCGATCCGGCTTCTAATCTTGATGAGGTACGTACATCAGGTATTTTATTTACACGACGATGAGATATGATGCAGGCATGCATGCAGCAGCTAAGCTCGCTCGTTCGCTTATATAACCAATACAACTCCTCCGTCGTATCGGATTAGAATTCCAATTAGCAGCATGCCAAACGTACCTTTTTTGGGTCCTGGTCCAATCTATTTCTATTTTTCTATTTCCAAAAATCCAAATCCAAATCCAAATCTATATCCCAGTCCCAGACCCAACAAGTCGCTAGCATGGTTCGAACTTCAATAAAAAAAAGTCGCTAGCATCGTTCGGAGGACATGAGCCAAGGTAATAGTAATACGCACCTTCGGCTGGGTTTTTTTTAACGAACCCTACATACAAATCTGGAATCTTCTGTTACTGTTATATAAAAATTTGAGTTCTGGCACCCTGTCGCGGCCGATAGGAGTCTGTCGGTTGCTCAGCGGCCAACAGGCTGATAAGACCTTTAGAACGGCACGTGGCCTGGAGAAAGCACCTTCCTTCCCATCCGTAGATATCAGGCCAGCCACGGCCCAGCAACATCGACTCCCTCCACCGCGAAATCGCAGCGGCGGCGTGTGGTTCGTTCGAAGACATACGTACTCGAGATCCGACATGGGAAGAAAGCGGCGACCCTCCTCCCCCTCCACCGTGAAGCAGTCGCCCCAGTCAATCGGACGACCTGGCACAGGGACGACCCCAGCGACGAGGTCTCGGTCGAGGGCAGCTTCAACTGCCGGCGGGGAAGAGTTGACATGGCCGCCAGCTTCAGCTTCACCTGCCGATACTGCTGCAAGTGCCTTTTTACCCAACTCTCCCCTCCCTCGTATGCCGTACCTGCTGGAGTATGATTCAAACGGACAACTCTGCCAAGAAGAAGACCAATCCCTTGACCCGGACCAAGAGCTGATGGAACCCTACTGGAAGGTGGAACAAGAATACTTTGACAAGTTATTAGGTTCGTATTTCAGCACCCCAATTTCTCTTTGTGTACTGTCTATATAGAACCAAAGAACAACAATTGGTATCCATGCATGCATTGTCTAGAACAAACAAAGTACAATGCTAGGCAAGACTACCAATTCATCGTTGTATATATGCTGAACAACAATTGGTATCCATGCATTTGCCTAGAACCAACAAAGTACAGTGCATGGTAGGCAAGACTAGCTATGATCGATAGCTAATTAGTTTGTGAACAAATATATATGTTATAACCGCATATTGTCTTGCCGTGTGCAGCACAAAATTCATGTTTTTAGATAAACTTCGTCCCCTTTTTTCTCACTTTGTGTTTTTCCCTATGTGTAGCTGAAATAAGGAAGCTTCCCACACTGGATTCAGACACTGCTACTAGTCCAGATATTATTCAAGAAAGTGCAGCAGATACCATCCTTCAAGCATCAGAGTTTGTTTTAGGGCTCTCCTCATATATTAGTATGTAATATTGTTATATTTCGTTGTGCTACAGATTTTGCTGTAATCTCCTAACACATATGTGCATATGCAGCTGGTGAGTTACTAAGAAAATGCTCTGGCATTTTGATGGAGTGGAGTAAGGGCACTGGAACCATTCTAACAATTGCGCAACTCATCTGCTCAAAATCTCCAAATGTTGATGAGTGGTTAGGCGGAGATGAATATGCTCTAAATGCTGAAGTAAGTTTGAATATAATGCCTTTTCTCAAAAGGAAAAATTATTAGCTTTAATTTTCAGAGCAATTTGATGGGCTATATCGAATGATAAAAAATTTCGACCCAAAGCGGGTGTGGCGGATTGTGCATTGTTTTGTGCACATTATTTACTTTTGTACCATTCCTTGGTATCACTTATGGTGTAGATATCTAAAAAAAATGATAACTCCCTCGGTTTTTCTAGATGCTTTAGTTTTAGATTTAATAGGCTATGTTGTGCATTTCTAGAAAGGTGCTTTCTCAAAGATAATTAACATCATGTCTTTTCCAACTTGAAAGCATCTAGGCCCCTAGATTGGATTTCGGTGATTAATGACAATACAAGATTACTATAACTAACGTGTGTTTTGTAGAGGCAAATAAGTTAGGTCATGGTAATGGAGATCGATTGGACGATCATGGATGTCATCCCCTACGATGGAAATCATTTTGGTTTTCAAAGGATGGACGACAAGGTTAAGGATGACTAGTTCTAAGTGTCGATTGGAGTTGGAGAGACACTTAGAGTAGTTTAGGACTTTGTTTTTCCTTTGGCCGTACTATTAAGGGGGGTATGGACGGGTAGCTTGACCTAGGTGAGTCTAGTGAGTTAGGTGTAGTGCACACTTGTTAAAACTAACACTAGGTAGCTCCTAAATATGCCTAAGATCCTTTGGAGCAAACTTCATTCACAAATGATCAAAAGTTGGAAGTGAATGGAGGGTCAAAGACTGACCGGACGTTGGTTTCGGTATGACCGGACGCTGGCTGTAGGGTCCGGTCAGTTAATTTGACTGAAGTGAACTAGTCCGGTTTGACCGGATGCTGGAGAGGTCAAGTGACCGGACGGTGAGGGCCAGCGTTCGGTCGACTCCAGTAAGGTTCCAGAGAAGTGAATCAGCGACCGGACGCGTCCGGTCAGTACTAACCGAACCCTGGGGGTTCAGTGCCCGGTCGAGTACAGTAAGCATCCAGTGAGGGTTTAATGCGGCCGGACGCGTCCGGTCAGTGCTGACCGAACCCTGCCAGCGTCCGGTCATCACTTAAACATTGGTCCACGGGTTGAACTGACCGGAGCGCCCGATCAACATGACCGGAGCGTCCGGTCACCCCGCAGAAGCTCGTAACGGTTCGTTTTTCAGCCGCTGTTATAAATACTTCACCCCTTCGTGTGAGGGGGTACTTTTGCTCATTCCAATAGCTGAGAAACACGTTTGTGAGTGCCAAGAAGAGCAAGGTCCTAGTGAGGTGTTTGTGATTTGAGAATCCAAGAGAGTAGCCTCATTAGTGAATCAAGAGTAGCAAAGTGTGCATCCACCGTTCTCATTAGGCTTCGCGTGGTCAAGTGAGAGTTCGTGCTTGTTACTCTTGATGATCACCATCACCTAGACGGCTTGGTGGTGATTGGGAGCTTGGTGATCACCCGGCGGAGCTTGTGGGTGACCCAACTCAAGTTGTGAGCGGCTTTGGGTGATTCACCGCGATGGAGTGTCGAAGAATCAACCCGTAGAGAGCACTTGATCCTTACGTAGATCAAGGGGGAGCTACACCCTTGCGTGGGTGCTCCAACGAGGACTAGTGGGGAGTGGCGACTCTCCGATACCTCGGCAAAACATCGCCACATTCCTCTCTCCCTATTTACTTTGAGCAATTCAATACTTGTTCTTACATTCATAAAATTGCCATGCTAGAGTAAGTTTGGAACATAGGTTGCAAGTCCTTTGTGTGTTAGATTACTAGAAACACCTTTCTAGGTATAAGGGGTTAATTGGGCTATCAATAGGATTTAATTATTGCAAGAAAATTTAGAATTAGCCCAATTCACCCCCCCTCTTGGGCATCTTGATCCTTTTAATTGGTATCAGAGCCACGTGCTCATGTTTTAAGCTTAACCGCTTAGAGCAAGATGTCTCACGGGGATGGACCTCCACCTATCTTTGAGGGAGATGATTTTCCTTATTGGAAAATTCGCATGGAGGCGTAGTTAGAAGCTCTAGACGTTGGAATACTTAGAGCCACCTCACATGGTTTTCCAAGACCTAGGAATCCCGCACAACTATAAGGCGATGAGGTTAATTATGAAAAATGGAATGTAAAGGCTCGCAACACCATCTTTAGAGGCCTTTGTAAAGATGTGTTCAACCGCGTAAGAAACCACAAAGACGCCCATGCACTATGGTCGGACGTTTGTGCGCTCCATGAGGGAACTAAGATTGAGCATGAGGAACGCTATCATCTTGTCATGAAGAAGCTCAACTCTTTTGAAATACTTCCTAAAGAATGTGCTAATGAAATGTATTCATGTTTCAATGTTCTTGTAGAGGAAGTCAATGGGCTTGGACTTACTCAAATGTCACCATCCGACGTTGTGAGAAAGATCTTGAGTGTCCTCCCCATTGACAAATATGGGCATATTGTGACCGTGCTACACCAAGGTGATCATTCCACCGCTACACCGACACAAATCTTGGAAAAGATCAATGCTCATGAGATGTACATGCACATCACACCACAAGATGGCTCATCCTCTACCAAGAAGAAAGAGAAAGACTTAGCATTCAAAGCAAGCCAAGAGAAGGGCAAAGCAAGACTTGAGTATGAGAGCTCAAGTGATGAAGAAGATGATGATGAAAGTCTTGCTCTCATGGTGAAGAAGACTGCCAAGATGCTAAAGAAGCTAAACAAGAGTGGCATCAAGTTCGATGGCAAGAAGAAAAAGTTCTTCACTAGATCAAGAAGGAAGCCAATCTCTGAGATGGATTGCTTCAATTATGGTGAATTTGGTCATCTAGCACACCAATGCACTAAGCCCAAGAAAGACAAGTTCAAAAACAAGAACAAGGGCAAGAAAGATGGCTCAAGCAATGAAGATGAAAAGAAGAAGAACAAGCCATACAAGAGGAGAGATGGTAAGAAGAGGGACTTCCACAAGAAGAAGAAAAGTGGAAAGGCCTACATCGTCGGTGATTGGCTCACGGACATTGATTCATCTAGTGGATCATCCGATGATGATAGTGACAATAAGAAGGTGGCCGCCATTGCTATTGATCTTTCATCTTCACCGCCAACACCGCCATCATTCTCTACACAATCGACACAGACGGGGATAGATAGGCACCCAAGACCCCCATGCCTTGTTGCTTCTCTATCATGATCCTACCCGATTTGCTTTTATTTATCAATACATGGTTATTTCCACGATAGCAAATATATCCAACCGTGCCTTGGTATCCACCTATATCTCACAGGTGACAGGAAATCACCTGACTTCTACCGGTCTAAGCATTGCTAAGTATACATTCGATCCTAGACCTACATAGGGTTCAAGGTATATTTCTAGACAAGGTAGTTCTATGCATCAAGTGGTTCCAATCAACTCTTATAACCTAATGCATCCAACATAAATAACTCAAGTGATATTTGTAAGAACATAGGAGGCTTAGAATGCTCCGGGGCTTGCCTAGGATCCAACACTAGGTTAGTATTTGTTAGACGACACTTGCTTGGTAAGCATCTCCTGTTCAAGCATGTACTCCAGGGGTCCTTCCATCCTCGGGACAGGTCCACCAACACTGTCTTCTGGTTCAATTCCATCATCACGTCCTTCACGTGGTGCATCTAGCGTACCTAGAGGAGATGCAATAATACAAGCGCATGAATATGAAGAATGGTCACATCATATTGATTTAAGCACTAGAGAGCAAGTCATTCAACTAAGTAACTAGGGCTATATAATTTAGAGCATGCACCATCAACATCAAGAATGGGCAATCAACTTAAGTGCATAAACAGAATTTGGACAGCAGTACAGTAGTCGTGTGTTTTAACCATAACTAGAGTTACAATCATTCAATAAAAGTGATCTTGAACTTTCTGGAAAGCTAATGAAATTGTCTACAACTTTGTTATTCATTCCAAAAGCTAACTCAAAGGTTAACATGATCAAATATGCCAATATCTTAGGTCTATACCGATAAGGACAGAAAACTGACATTAACTTCAGAAATGTATAACTGGAGTTCTAATCATCCAGCAAGCATGATCCTTAACTTTATATAAATATTACTAAGTTTTATACAACTTTATTATTATCATCTTTAGGTGATTCAATAGTTATTTGGCCTTAAACACACAAAGCAACAATTCTGTCCAAAACAATAGAATCTGATATGCAACTTCAGATAGCAATAAGTTGAGTTCTAGCTTTCACAACAAGGTGCTTCTAGACTTTTTAGAAATATTAGCAAACCATGCACAACTTTGTTATAAACACCACAAGCTAATTCCAAAGTTCACCAGGTCAAACATCACAAAGAAAACATCTCTGTCCATATTAGGACAGAATCTGTCACTCCACTTCATAAGCTCATAACTGGAGATTTAGACCACCACAAGGGGTGATCTTTAACAATTTGCAAAGCTCATGAAAATCACCACACTTCTTCTATTATCTCCAAGACATGATCAAAGCTTAGCTAAGTCAAACAACACAATATTATGATCTGTACATAGAGCATGCAAAATCTGACAGCAACCTTCTAAAATCCATAACTCCTAAACAATCAGGCCTAAAATCATGAAATTTTAGGACAAATAAGATAAGGAAATTATATACAACTTTTGTATTAAACATATCTATAGAAAACATTACTTGATTCATGTAGTTATCATCACAACAGAAAGTGCACATGCAGCCATTTTAGAATGTAACATTTGATGTTTCACTTGTTTTGCTAACAAAGAGCATGCACACATAAGCCATTCCAGAACTTCAACCACCACTAACATACTTAGCAACACTTTATTGAACACCAATCACACAAAGCATCACCAAATACAATTAAAAACTTTATCTACAATTATGCTTTTATTAATCCTTTCTCCTAATAAACATATATATAATTTTAGTGATATGTGAGAACAACTAGTTTGGGCTGATAATTTTGAGTGGTAGATGTTATCAAAACATGGCTACTGCACAAATTTCACATGCTCATATTTTATAGATTAATTACTATGAAAAAGACAAATTGCTATTGCAAGAAAACATATA